AAGCCTGAAAGACATGTAGTGCGAGGATGATCATGCTATCTTGTTTTCGAGAATGTTTGACGCACACATTCTCTCAGTCATAATAACGCAGAAGAGGTAGATTGAAATGCCATCCACCCACACCCGCAATGTCTCACACTCGTAGTGGAGGTGGCTCGTTTCAGACCCGTGGACAAAGTGGCGGGCTCACTTCTGGACAACCAATTGCAATACGTCGGCGAGTTAATTAGGATCGCCTCAGCAGTAATGATAGTACTCGAGCTATTGGAGTTGTCAACGGAATACCTTTAGAATAAGGCATGGTTGCTAGTCACCCACCACACCTGTGACATGCCGAGAACCGGGAAAGCAGAGAGAGGGAGAGATGGATCGTCAAGACTAAGGTACCGTAGTGGAAGATCACTATAAGCGCCTAGCACTAGGAGAGTCTAGGGTCTTCAGAGTAGGTACATGACTTAGAGGTGAGGAATATTTCCGATTGTTGTCGATATGACATTGACCAAAGATTCTGCATCTTTAAATCCTGCACGTCTTTGGTGAGAAACCCATCTTGTTGCTCAAAATAGAGGGTCGGAAGTCGGACCGCTGGCAATTCTGTGGTACTGGTAGCCCAAACTCGCGAAAAATTGCAAATTTCATGCAAGCTGCATATGCAGTAGCATGTAGGCAACCTTGAACTCTTCAATTGAGAGCAAGTCATTGAATTCTACACTCCAGGCTTGCTTTAGCCTTGACCCGCCCATTTGGTACCTTGCACGGAGATTTTCAAACGGCTCGATTCTCCCCATTTCTCTTGCTTCCTATCACATCAGAGCGTGCGTGCTTCTCTTCACCATACCTGTTGCTCCTTTTCCTCCGCTGCGTTCTGGGAGTCAGTGTCTGTGTATTTCCCCGGCCGCCGCACCGTTCTTTGGGCGACAAGAAAAGGGAAAGCGGCCGCCTCAAGCGGAAAATTGGGTGTAACACAATCCACGACTTCCGCCATCAAGATGGCTAGATGGTGCTCTACGTGACGCTTCTTGAGCTCTTCTGCTTTGTTTCAATGCGGTAGAGTCAGGGCAAGGTTCACGATCATCACGGCACATGAAAGATCCAGCTCGCACATGATCTACATTACGAATAATGAGCTGTCCCCGCATTCTGCACAATATCCATATTCCTACGACTTGTGGGTGAGCCGTCGTTGTAGGGTTCTGGTGATTGTCAAGGAAGACATACACGTCTCTCAGGCCTTTACCCGCCATCCCCTTTCCCGATGATCCTATGTCACGAACGTACATCGGACCGTTTGGTAGAATTCTACCCATCCTCGATGGCAAGGAGCCTGAGCAGCAGCAACTTCCCGTTGACGAAACGCGAACGAACATGACGACATACCAGCTGCCTCCACCAGAAAGGCTGCAGTTTGGCAGTGACACTAGTCCTGGTTTTACAGAGCCGATGCGATACAATACTATAAGCCAGTCGAGAAAACCACCAAGAACAACCAGCCCTGTGTACAGTGAGCAGCCCAAGTCATCCCCCCATAAGCAACTGCCACCCGTTCGCCAACTCTTTTTCCCACCATCCTCGAATATTCAAACATCTCAGTATCCACCACAGCACGATGCCAACCTGTCCCAAAGACCCTCGAGTCTGCCTTCCGCTCCCCGATCAGTCCCCGATCAACCAGCTCCGGTCCCACAGTATCACTATCAAAGCAGCTTTCCTCAGCCCCCATTGCCTCCGCAAGTTCAAACCTCGATAGGCACTAAGGTCCTGGGAGACGACCTTGGGTACAGCCCTTCGGGTCGGCAGCCTCCAGCATCACCATACATTTCCCACCAAGGCTCAAACGCAACTTCCTATCCAACCTCCTATCCCGCTTACTCCGAACGACCCCCGCAAATTTCGTACTCTGTTGCACAACAAAACCATCATGCTCCACCATCAAATCCTCCATTGGATACTCCTCAGCCTCAACAGGTAATGCCGATGAATCCTCCTGTTCAATACTATCAAGAACATCCCAGCGACTACGACATGTCATTAGCCCCTATATCGCGTCACGAACAAAGCCCACAAGCCGCGGAGAATAGCGTCAAACCAATGGCGCGTGTGGTGGGAGAGACAGACGTACCAGGACAAGGTCCCAGCTGGGTATACGAGGATGGTACGACTTGTAAAAAGATCATCGATGGGGAGGAGGTCAATGCGCAGTGGGGTGTTACGAAGGCCGGCAAGCCACGCAAGCGTCTTGCAATTGCATGCACGACTTGCAGAGAGAAGAAGATAAAGTGCGACCCTGCAGAGCCAAAGTGTGTCCAATGCGAGAAGTTTGGCAGGGAATGCAGATTTACAACAGCGTGAGTCTTGAATTTACCAAAAACCCCATGTCAATCTGCTGTTTTGTGAAGCCATCGAATTGTCAACCGATCGTGTCCGTGCTCTGTTTCTTGCTTTTAAACCTGCGACGGCTGAGGTCCAGTGAAATCTTGCATTTCTTACATCCCATTTAATGTACTGATGTTTTCTGTAGATTTCGCAATCAACGTACCAGTCCAGAGTCACCTTCTTACCATTCCCAGGCGCGTACTCCACCAATAAACATCAAGATCGAACCATCCACTCAGCCAAGTCTGCCTTCAGAATCTGTACCTGCCAGCGCGGAAGATCAGACATTGCTCAAACGACGAAACTCATCACCACAGATCAGCCAGATCAAGATACCTGGAACAGGTGACGCAAAGTACCATAATCACAAACCACCCCTCAAAAAGCAACGATCAATTCTTTCAGGAGCATTATCACCAAAAGCGGAGCGCAAAATTCTTCCATTAAAGAATCGCGTAGAGGAGGCTGGTCCCCAGAAATCAGAGACGATACACAGAGAGATTGAATCGAAAATTGCCTTCGATCAGGTCGCTCCACTATTGTCTGCCAAAGCGGAGTTGAGGATAGTCGATGAACTCAAAGCTCGGAGAGATAGAGTCCTGCGGGCCATTGAACAGCAATGTGAGGATGATTGCCGGGAAGGAATGAAGCCATGCACTATAATGCTACGACTCGAAATCATGCACGGAGGTTTTTCTAAACCATGGGTGAAATGATCACCATCCTCTACAATTTGTCATTCCGGCAAGCGTACATACGTCCAAATCGACACACCCACATCAACTCCTATGCTTAGCTGCAAATTGAACATCCAATGGCCCTTGCAGATCACATCCTTTCCGTTTCCAAGAGCCTTTGTCGCTAGTACTTTCAAGTGCACAAAACCATTGGATACAAAGATGAACGCCCATCATAAAGTCTCCTACGATATTAATGCGAGTGCAGGAGGGTTTTTTGGTGTTTTTAGAATTGAAATGCCCCTGGGCCGAGAAGAGCATAAAGACGATGATTTCTAAATACTAGCTGAAGAGTGGTGAACGACCATGCGACTGTACGATACCCCTTTTGCTCACAGCATTTCGCCGCGGTCACAGACATGGCGTATCTGGCGTGTGTTGGGCATGGACGGGTCTAAAGTACGACAGGGGTGGGTGGTGAGGTATTTTACCACAAGTCGAGCGATTAGTTGGCTGGCAAGCTCATCATTCAAAACATAAAAGCAAGCGTTGAGCGAGAGCTGGAGAGCTGATATCGGGATGTACAGACCAATATGCAAACCGCTTCCAGCACTCCATGTGTTTAGATATTCGCTATGATCGCCCAATTCTACCCAGTGAGGTCCATGACTAGGCCTGTAGAAAGATAACATTTTTTCTTTATTATCAGTTGCTGTTTTGTCTCCAGCCATGGTGTCTTCACGCAAACGGAAGACACGAGCGATCGTCATGCCGAAATCGATGTAAAAGACTTTGCGAAATTCGGATATACAATGTACAAAAATATTTATGTACATGAGTAACGTTACCGCTGGCCAAAGGGCTCATCATTGACCCTTTGCGACTCCGGCACCTCTGCTGGATGTCCCACAGGTTCCAGTGGATAAGTTGTAGATGGTAAACTCTGAAGAAGCTTCCGGTGATGCTCATGTGCCTACCATTGAGAATCAGTGTTTGAATTCGAGTACTCACGATCTCTTAGAGGGGCTCTTACGAAGGGCAGGCCACAGTAACTACACCAGCAGATCTGAGGCTTGTCCACGTTAATGAAAATCCTCGGATGTCCCAATGGCCCTCCACCTCCATCACAGGACACAGTCCTTGTCTTGGTCCATCTTACGGGCTGCTTGTGAATGAGACTGATGGCTGCTTCCGGTTGGGGCTACGCAGTTTCCATCAGAGTCAGCCAGTCCCTCAACACCGCCCTCTTAGACCGAAATGGAGTCTCCTGCATTGATGGAACTCACTTGATACTCCATGATCGTCTGTTCAAACCTCGGACCGCTCATCGCCCTCTCCCTTGGCTGCTGACTCCTGCTCCACACGTCTTTCCTGTTCGGCGCCTGCATCACCCGCTGCCGTTCGCTGTCCTCCGGCATCTCCTGCAACGGGCGGTCCGAATCACGTAGACCCTGAGGTGAGATTGGCACGGCGTTCGAGTCGGAGACGTTTTGGACGGGCTTTGGTGGTGAAGGGTCGTTGGTGGGGACGCGGTCTGAGGTCCTGTCGCTAGTGGAATATGAGCGGAGAGGCAAGAGACGGGGATGTAGACGGGGATGGATTGAGGATATCCAAGCGCCCCGAATAGGTGCAAACATGTTGGCAGATGATGTTTGCGGTCCGCGACTCTTTAGGATGGTGATTAACATAAAAGCGATGGTTTCCAAGTATCGAAGTTGAACACGCCTCGGCTCACCTGCCATTCTATACCTTACTTGTAGGCTCCGCATTGGATCAAATTCCTGCTCTCAGCACTTTGCTATGATGATTTACGACATAAACAATAGAGCTTCGGTGGGTCGTGTACCGAATTTAATGAGTCCGTTCACTGCTGATCATTATAGGTCATAGCGTAACGTAGCTGTCACAATGTCCAACCAAAACCCTCCACAAGCACGCCCTTCAAAAACCATGTCCTCCCGCTTAATGACGATGAAGGTACTCTTCTCCGTCTTTACTCTTCGGTTGCTTTCAGATTGTCCCATTAATCTTCGGCTTTTCAGTTCATGCAACGTGCTGCAGCCTCTACTCCTCCTTCCACGCCTCAATCGCAGCCCCGCACCCCAGATACTCCCCCTTCCAAACGCCAGAAAGTATCTGCTGCTCCATCTTCGACAGCCACACCACCTTCTGATCTACAGCTGATGCAAACCGCTTTGACTGAGGAGGAAGAGAAGACGGAGAAAACAATTGAGAGACTAGCAGAGGAGGCTGGAGAAACGAAATGGGTTCTGAGTACTGTGAATGGAGAAGAAGGGAATGGTGTAGGAGGGCTACGGGTTGCTAAGGCTGGATACTCTGAGACTGACCAAGAAGCTTGGAGGCCTGCTATGGTAGGGCGGAGGAGTTTCGGAAAGTTCAATCGAGAATTGGAGGTAAGTTTTGTCATCGTCTTCAATTTCCACATGTTGATGATAAACCTTTAAATTATGTCTTCAGCTAACAGAATCTTGCATGCTTAGAAGCGACAATATGGCGTAGCCGATGAATCTTCGTCGTCCAGCGATAAAGACTTCGAAGCCAGCGAAGAGGAGGACGGCGAAGAAAGTGATGATCCTGCTGGTACAAGAGAGTTGCTCCGTGCATCGCAAGAGGAGGCCACGAGGCGCGCCAATGACGAGCGACACCAGCGCAAACAACAGCGGATAACTGAAAAGGCTGAGCTAGCACGTCTGGCCGAGCAAAGACGAAGCAAAGAGGTGAAACTGAACAGGTTATTCTCTATTTCAGGGGGCGGTGGGGGTGGAGGCAAACCAGGTGGCAGCAGCAAGCAGGACATGGAGTGCTATTCGTGCGGCGAGAAAGGTCATGCCAAGAGGGACTGTCCACATAAAGGGAAGCGAAGGAACAAGGACTGGCATGGTAGGCCTGCGAAGAGATCTAAATCATCGTTAGACTACTGAAACGAGGGTGGAGAGTAAATATTTTACTTCTCAACAGTTTGGAAGGCATACCTATCCCAAAGATCAAACGTCCCGGATTAGCAGGCCTGAAGTTTCATCGAACTCGACATCTTTCTTCAGGTCGTCGCTGACTGAAGGGGGCCGGTATTTGGGGGCCTTGATTTTCTTTGGAGCCTTGACCCGAGTAGGACGGGGTGGTGAGGTCTTCGTACCCTCGTGTCCATTCATTGAAATGGGCCTGCTATATCCGCTACCACTTAACAACTCGGCAGGCTTCCCTTTCTCCTTAGCATCCGAAAGGAATCTTGGCCTGACGACAAAGATGGGCTCAGGAAGGTTCTTGCCAGACCGCAGTTTTGGATAGCGTGATTGCCCTGAACGGAGCGGTGACACGGGTTGTTTTTGGCTCGCATGAGACTGTTCTAGATGTAACCTACCGTTGACGTTGCTCTCCAGTCCGCCAGCCGTAACCCGAGAGTGGTCCATGACTCTGCTAGAGTGCCTCGATCGAGCAAGTGGTGTTGAACTGTTCCGATGATGTCGTTGATCCGGGGAGTGACCTTTTCCGGCTGCTCGTACGGTCCTCGGCGGACGTCCTCTGACCGGGAGACCTTGAACGTCAACCTCACTGCCATCTTCGCTATCAAGGAAACCATCGGCACCATCAATCTTAATCTCCTCTTCTGCTGGGAATCGCGTCTTCGACCCGGCGATTCGTCCGTTCATGCGATGGGATCTGGAAGCGCCCGATGTGCGATAATAGCCAGCGAAGGCATCGTATGGTTCTGTCGAAGAAGGAGGGTCGGTGTAAGAGTCGTCAGAGGAATGTGAGCTTGAGGTGTCGTTCACGTCCTCGCTCGGTATAATCCTCTCTTGCACATCCATCGCAAACCTGACTCTCTTAGCAGGAGGAGCTTTAATCAGTCCTCCGAGGGGTATGGAGGTGTGCCTTTTGGATGATTTGTCGTTGCACCTTTGTGTTGTCCGCGAATTAGTTGGCTTCGGGGGCTTGGGCGCTTGGACGCTGGCTTTACTGTTTGCCCGTTTGTGAATCTGGTCTTCGTCACTGGTTGATGGCGGCGACGACAGTGGTAATAACGACGCCGACGACGACAATGATGAGGATGAAGATGATGACGAGTCCTGTACTCGCTTATTCTCTACAAATGCAAGATTTGTCTTTGCATTCTTTGCCAAGCGACAACCCTCTTCATCTCTCGATGATGACGATGAGTCACTAGGATTTTTGGCAATACCATCTTCGTCGTTCTTCGAAAGTCGCGTTTCTAGTACAACCTTTTCTTTAATTACTCCACCATCTATCGCCTCAGGCACAACATCCCGTTGCTTGTTCTGGGCCACAGGAGGAATAGCGGCAATCAATGGCTGGAAGAACTCTTCTCGAGGCCGGCTTGGCTCCAATGAATCGAAGTAAATGCCGGTGAGACCGAACCTGACCCGACACATGGTGAGCAAAAGGCCGAAGTGGACTAATAGCAGATAAAGCCCCAAACTACTGCACTCTTTACGCAAATACAGACCTTCGGACACATCTTATTAAGTGTACACGCTCATAAGAAATATAAATACTGGCGCCGTAGAAAGGTCCTCACAATACAAGATATTCCTTCCTTATCGAGGAACTGGGAAAGTTCAGAGAGAGAACCGTGGACATGTATGACTGAAGGTTAGGAAGCGTTTTCGACCAGCAGCGCTTTTACTGGCGCTCGGGGCCGGCATGTATGAAGATGGCTATCACAAGTTTTGAGACATACCCCACTGAAGAAGTGATGGCTTATAGCTTGCTTGAGACAACTCATCGACTTACCAAACAGAACTCCTAGATTCTCGAACTGTTCCTCGGCGCTGTCTAGGCTTTTTACCTCGCTTAGGCTGAATCTCTTCGGATAACACTCACTATTATCGTCCTCCCATCTCCCTATCGACGTCTACGGGGCAACCTACGCAGGCCGAGACTTTCGGTATGCGCGAAGATCCTGACCAGCCACACCTTTGGGAGTTGATGGCATTCCACGACAGATTGAGCTCGTCTCCGTGGAGAATAGCGGACATATACATTTTGCAACCACGCCGGGTGGACTGCGTTCCCATACCCTGCTGATAGCAACACAGCAAAACAATCTCTGAGATCTGGGAACGCTATGCAGCGGGCTTGGTAGCTAAGGTATCTGTACCTCCACGTGTACCATATGCGTGATACTTATCCTGATATGCGTCCAGCCTGCCGGAGATCTCTATAGACTGACCGGGGTTCCCCATGTGCTTGAGTTTTAAGTAAAAGGCACTTTATGATGGCTGAACACTCAAGAGCTGTAGTCTTTATCGGTCTACAGTAGATGTTTCGATAAAGGCCCATTCCCCAAATCAAGTCGGGATTTTGTGGCACAGAGTAGTTGACTCGGGAGAAGCGCCACTACTTGTACTCTTGGATGCGACGCCACTATCGGCCCGCCAAATCCTGCCGTACCTTAGGCCTGCAATAGATAGTATGTAATACAATTCACTCCATGTGCCATTACCTTCTTTGAGCATCAATCTTCTCCCACCTTTACCAGGCTCTTCTTTGCTGATGCGTTTTCTAAGCTATCATGGCTTGGCTATTTTTTCATGCACACAATTGGCAAGACGCGCACGCTGAATGCAAGAAGACGTTCCAATAACCACTTGGCTGCGCGGCTTGCAGAAGATATCTCCACTTCTCCACTTTGCTCCCTCTCTTCGAGAATCGCGCTGTCGGGATTAGTCCTTTCCCACGATTCTACCTGCTGCAGGATAGGCAAGAACACCCTCATCATGTTGGGCCCCCTTCTAGAGTCGTGGGAATGGATCAAGGCCCACAATCCACGCTCGCTCTTCAAGAAGAAGCACCGCCTTAATTTCATCACCATACATTGTACGTCTCTCCCGCTTTCGGTCGACGCCCGCTCATCCATATGCTAATGGAGTGCGCTTCGTCTCACAGATCTTTATATCCTGTTTATCACGATTGTCGGATCAATCCTTCTATACCCAGCCGGAGGTTTGGCATACATTGACGCCCTTTTCTTCGCTAGCGGATCCGCCACGCAAAGCGGTCTCAATACGTAGGCTTTTCGTCTCACATGCAGACTGTTGCACGCTAATAATCCCTTAGGGTTAACATCAATGATCTCAATACATACCAGCAGGTAGGTACGTCCGCATCTACCAACAGTCGGTCTCTGAATCGCCACGCAGCTTGTTTTCTATTTCCTGGGAATGATCTGTACGCCAATATTCATAAATACGTTCGTCGTCTTCGTCCGGTTATACTGGTTTGAGCGCCGTTTCCAAAACGTTGTGAGGGAAGCCCGCAACTTTCGACGCACTCGGTCGCGGACCAGAACGGAGCTCAAGGACGACGCGGATCCTAGTTGCACGGAGAAGGGTGTCCGAGGTCGTAGTATTGTCGTTTTGCACAATGGTAATGCGCTTAGGCAAAGGCGTGAAATGAGCGACCAGACAGAGAAGCCTGATCTTGCCGAAGATCTTGGTAGCGAATCCTCTTCAAGTGAAAGAGGGAGGACTGAAGCTGTCGATCATGCTATCACCTTACCGCCCTTGAACCCGCCAACTTTCCGTCGCGACGTCACATTTGCAGACGAAGTGGAGAGCCCAGAGGCAAATGAAGCGGCGCCACAAATGTTACCGCAACGCTTGAGTCCCGAACAACATATCGCCATTCTGGAGAATCAAAGGAATCCAAAAGACAAAGGAGCGCTCCGAATTCCTGGCCCCCGTGATTTTGACCGCGGGAGTGTGCCGGAGCCTCTAGACTTAGACGATGATGGTGGGCAAATAGATCATCAAGTCACGAGTCCTGTCGAGCGACGAGGGATGCTCAATGGCACTTCGATGAAGCGAAACGTCACTATCGATGAGCCTCACCATCCTCGCGAACGCGCAAATTCAGCAGCCTATCCCAAGCTATCCTCTCGGAAAAGTGGTACCCTGGAGAATCTGAAGATGTCGCCTACAGATGAAGTAGCGCTCCCGTCCGGCCGTACAAAAGGTCGCACGGGTACATTCTCCAGCCTCAAAGGATGGGCTTCAAAGGAGAACGAACCAGCCACACCGTACCTTAGCTGGCAGCCCACAATAGGAAGGAACTCAGCCTTCGTAGATCTGACTGAGGATCAGAGGGAAGAACTGGGAGGAATCGAATATCGCTCCTTGAAGACCCTAACCGTTGTTCTTGTCTGTGAGTGTACCAGGCAGCCTTTTAATGCTAGTATATGAAGCTGACAGCTTCGTGCCAAGCTTATTATCTCACATTCCATCTTCTCGGCGTGGTTATCCTCCTCCCTTGGATAGTGCGTAGTAGCACGTGGGGACCTGTTGTAGATGGCGATGGCCAGTCAAGGGTCTGGTGGTATGATGTTCGATCTCTTAAGCATTGAAAGATCATTCTAATCCAGGCTCTAGGGGCATCTTCACTCCCGCATCCATGTTCAATGACCTTGGCTTCACACTTACCGCGGATTCTATGGAGTCGTTCCAAACAGCTATTGTACCACTTCTACTTGGAGCTTTTCTCATTGTCATTGGGAACACAGGATTCCCCTGCATGCTCAGGCTCGTAATCTACATTGCTTCAAAACTTGTGCCCCGTGAAAGTGGGGTTTGGGAAGAATTGAAATTCTTGCTGGATCATCCGAGACGTTGCTTCACCTTACTATTCCCAAACTCTGCAACCTGGTGGCTGTTCTGGATTCTTGTTATTCTTAATGGCCTTGACATCATCTTCTTCATCGTACTGGACGTAGGTTCCCGAAAATTTTCAATCATAATCAAGGCTGACTTCTGACGTAGCTCCATGATTCCGTGCTTACCAGCATTAATCCCGCAGGTTACAGGGTTCTAAATGGGTTGTTTCAAGCTGCGAGTACGCGCACGGCAGGCTTTGCCTCGGTCGATCTGGCAAATCTCCATCCTGGGATTCAGGTGTCATACTTGATCATGATGTATATTTCTGTCTTCCCAATTGCTATCTCCGTACGGCGCACGAACGTTTATGAAGAGAAGAGTCTTGGGATCTATGGATCGTCGAAAGAAGAGACTGACGATGAAAAGGAGCCCAGCTATGTTGGCGCTCATTTACGTCGACAATTGAGTTTTGACCTGTGGTACATTTTTCTGGGTCTATTCATCATCGCGATTGCCGAGGGCGACCGGCTTTCCAGCACGAACGACTACGCCTTCACCTTGTTCTCGGTCCTTTTCGAGATTGTTTCGGCTTATGGAACTGTCGGCCTCTCCCTTGGCTACCCAGGGATAGACGCATCATTTTCCGCCGAGTTTTCCGTGGTATCCAAGCTCGTTGTAATTGCTATGCAGATCCGAGGCCGACATCGTGGACTTCCTTACGAGCTGGACCGCGCTGTCTTGCTGCCTAGTGACTCATTGCACAAAAAAGAGGATGAGGATGCAGCCAAGCGAGTACAGAGACGCAATTCGAGCATCAGTAATCTGGAGCCAATGGGGAGAACATTGTCGAGTCGGACTCCGACCGTAGGACCAGTATCCGGGTCCACTTGGCCAGCCATGGCAGCGCCGGACACTGCGGCAGCTTCAGGTCGTGACGAAGATGGCATGAATGGCACGAATAGCAGTTTGGAGCAACATCCAAACCATTCAGGGCACGCCCAAAAAGGGCTTGGGAAACTGATGGCTGGATTGGCTGAGGGGCCGAGGATCAGAGCACGCGAATGAGTTGTACTTAATGAGTGACAGGCTCAGAGAAGAGGTCACATGCAGCATCGGGCGTAAATAGATGGACAGGAAAATACATAGGAAGGCGTTTGCTTTAAGCGCGGCGTTGGAGGGTCTCTATGGTTGGTGTCGCTGTTCTGGACGGGCTGTTGGGTACACGAATGAAAGACAACCTTCCCAACATCACAGAATCAATTGTGGGCACAGATCTTTTCTGCGTTCGACCCACCAGCTCTTTCCCATTGGTCCCCGCTCCATATCGAAACGGTATTTAAGGTCACGAAAGTATTGAGCTCTACCCATGGAAAGACGGAATGAATTGACCATGAACCATTGAGGATTCTGAATTTTGTTTAATCCTAAGGCAGCACAACATATTTTTCTAAATGCGCCGGTATTGCACGCAGGAGATTTTTATCTGAGAGCCACTTTCGCGAAAATAGTCTGTCGGCATATCTGTATGCACCGTCACAGAGTATTGTCACTACTGTATTTCCCTGGCCCAACTTTTCTGCCACTTCCTTCGCCGCCGCGACGTTTAAACACGAACTTGCGCCCAAGTAAAGTCCTTCTTCGTCGAGACATCGATACACCATCTCAATACTTCTTTCGTCGCTGATGTGTACTGCACCGTCTAGCAGCTCTATATCTGGCTTGAGATTGTCCGTGACCCGACCCTGACCGATACCTTCTGTGATACTGGAGCCCGTGCGTTCTTTCAATTGGCCTCCACTGGTAATGTATGAATGCAATACACTTCCGGGCGGATCCGCTAAAAATGTCTTGACTCTACCGCCTGAGACGTCTTTCAGGTATCTCGTGACACCAGCTAATGTGCCACCAGTCCCAGTCGCACATGTAAACGCATCAATCTTGCCATCTGTTTGGTTCCATATTTCCGGTCCCGTTGTCTCTACGTGGGCTCTTCTGTTTGCAATATTGTCGAACTGATTTGTCCATACTGCATTATCTAATCGCTCTGCGTGTCGCTTGGCTTGATGATTGTAATTCTCGGGATTTTCGAACGCCACGGCCGGCACAGGATAGACCTCGGCACCCAGCAATCTCAGCAAGTCGACCTTTCCCTGTGATTGTGTATTCGGCATGTATATTACTAATTGGTAGCCTTTTGACCGACAAACGTGTGCCAGGCCAATGCCTGTGTTTCCCGCGGTGCCTTCAACAACAGTGCCTCCTGGCCGCAGTTGACCCTTCTCTTCGGCATCCTTGACCACATACAATGCTGCACGGTCCTTCACGCTACCTCCAGGATTTTGAAATTCGGCTTTACCTAAAATCTCGCAGCCTGTCTCGTCGGATAATCGTTTGAGGCGAATTAGAGGGGTATTGCCAATGGCTAAAACATTGTAAGCTCAATAGATCCATGATGAAGATTGTAATTGCCCTCACCTCCAACAAAGCCATTGACATGTCCCTGTGCTTTAGCCAGTTGTACCCCATATTGATTTGACATCTCAACCTTAGAAGCTACTTCTGCAGCTTTATGCGCTGTGGTGGTTAGTCTGCGCACGCTCTGCCTGAACATAGTGTGCTATGCGACACGGTGATCGAGGAATGACCTTTAGAGTGATTTAAGACACGAGTACAAAGCGAAAGGGAAAATCGATTAACAAGATTTCTGTCATGGCAAACTATGATGCAAGTGACTACCGCGCGCTTATACTTGCCGCTGCCACGCCATCCCCGTGTTTGTTGATTTTCGTCAAGTTGCTGGTACCATACAGCTAATTGTTCAAGGACTTCAAACCTCGATCAAAATATGCCTGGTAGAGTGTCCGCTCGAGCGCCTACTGTGTCGCGAATCTCCCACAAGGCATCCGCCGAAACATTGGCCTCGCGCAAATCCACCACTTCTCCCTCAATAGTCATCCCAAAGGAAGGACCTACTTCTACCCTGCGCGCACAAGTTTGCAATGTGTTCAGTGACGCGCAAAAATCTGCAGCTGGGCACCGAAAGCTGGTCGTAGGATTGAGGAAGATTCAAGAGGCTTGCTGCTATGAGCCCACGCGGCCCGGTAAGCCTGGTCGACAAGAATTCAATGAGGACGAGTTCAACGTGGAGATTGCACGATGTGTGATTCGTCTGATGGGCGTGAGGAGAATTGAAGCCGTAGGTGACCGGATCGTCCGCTTCTTGGGGTTTTTCTTGCGCCATGCAAGTGAGAAAGGTAGGTGGAATTCATCACGTCGGAGTCGATATCCAACCAGCGCTGAAAGTTTGCAGATGCTGCATTGATCACCGAATCCGAGATGAACGAAACGCATTCATTCCCCGAGACTGCGAGCACTCGATTGACCTCTCATATCTTATCCATCTTGCTGCAATTCCTTGCTTCGAAAGAGAAGACAGTTCGTTACCGCGCGACTCAGCTCGTTGCTCACATCATCAACTCACTGGACTCTATTGACGACGAATACTTTCACCTCCTGAAGATGGGACTTCTCAAACGCATCAGGGACAAAGAGCCGATGATCCGTGTCCAGGCTGTCCTAGGCCTGGGCCGGCTAGCTGGCAATGAGGACGAAGGGGACCAGGACAACGCCGACAGCGATGACGACGATGCAAGTGGATTATTGGAGAAATTGCTCGAGGTCCTTCAAAACGATCCTGGCGCAGATGTCCGCCGTTCTCTGCTGCTCAACCTACCTTTGACACCAGGAACCTTGCCGTACCTCCTAGAGCGTGCTCGAGACCTCGATCCAGCCACCCGTAGAGCATTATACTCTCGCTTGCTACCTGCTCTGGGGGACTTCCGTCATCTATCTTTGTCTATGAGAGAGAAACTGCTCCGCTGGGGCTTGCGTGATCGTGATGAGAATGTTCGTAAAGCTACTGCTAGACTTTTTCATGATCGTTGGATCGAGGACTGTGCGGGTCCGCGGCTGGCTGGTGGAGGCGGTGCGGCCGAGGAAGCAGTGACACCAAGTATTGAATGTGTACTAGAGCTGCTCGAGCGAATTGACGTCCTCAACTCTGGAGTCGAAGATGGCATAGCCTTGGAAGCTATGGAGAAGTTTTGGAGCGGGCGGCATGACTACCAGGACATCCTCAGCTTTCAAGATCCATTTTGGCATCATCTGAGCCCAGAAAGCGTTTTTCTGGCGAGGTCTTTCAATGACTACTGTCACCAGCAGCCTGATGGAAAATATGAAACCCTGGTTGAAGAAAAGATGCCCGAAGTAACAAAGCTTGCATTCTTCCTCCAGAGATACACAAACAACCTGGTCGAATGCTTACGACGGAACCACGACAGATACAAAGGTGACGAAGAGGAAGACACCGTCGAACAAGAGTTCATCGTGGAACAGCTACTGCACATCGCGAAGACTTTGGACTACAGCGACGAAGTCGGTAGAAGAAAAATGTTTGCGCTTTTAAGGGAGACTTTAGCCATCGCGGAATTGCCAGACGAGATCACTAAGCTCTCTGTTGAAGTTCTCCGCGATGTTTGCGGAATAGAAGCCGCAGGAGAAAGAGATTTTTGTGGTGTCGTTCTTGAGGCGATAGCAGAGGTCCACGACGCCATCGCTGTTGATGAACCACTGGCCGATAATGAGGACGAGAGCTTCCACTCAGCGCATTCAGAGATCAGTGACAGCACGCCGACCAAAGCTAAAGTCAGTCGGAGTGCTGAAGAAGACAAGGTCAAGGCCATCAAAGAGATCATGATCAACATGAAGTGCTTGCACATAGCGCAGTGTATGTTGCAGAATATTGAGGGAACCTTACAGCAGAACGTACACTTAGTCTCGATGCTCAACAACCTTGTTGTACCAGCTGTTCGAAGCCATGAGGCCCCAATCAGAGAACGAGGGCTTCTTGGCTTGGGTCTTTGCTGTCTTCTGGACAAAGTATGTGAAAATCCTTCATCTGTCATGGGAGGTACTGACTGGGATTGGGGTGCAGACGCTTGCTGATGAGAATCTGAGCCTTTTCGTCCACTGCTTCACGAAAGGACACGATGCGCTTCAAGTCACTGCAATCCATATTCTCGCCGACATCCTGACAACTCACCCAAGCCTCATCTCGTCAGCAACCGCAGACGCCGCCTTACAAAAGTCGATTCTTAGGATCTTTGCTAAAGGCATGAAAGCAGAGCATACTCCCGATGTACAAGCAGCCGCCACAATCGCTCTTTGTAAATTGATGCTGACCTCAGTCATACAAGACGAGGACCTGCTTAAGCAGATCGTCATTTGTTACTTCGATCCCGCAACAAAAGATAATGCTGGGGTAAGGCAAGCTCTGAGTTACTTCCTGCCGGTATACTGCCACAGTCGCAGAGAGAATATGGAAAAGATGGCAAATATTGCGGGCGGTGTCATGCATTCGCTGGTAGAGATGAGTGAAGAGCTTGAAGAAGGAGAGGAAATGGTCGGGGTGAGTACGGTTGGAAATATGCTTGTCGACTGGACGGATGCGCGAAAGTTGGTGGTCCAGGATGAAGCATCTATCAGCTGGGACGAGGCTGGGAAGAAAGAAGTCAAAGCTGTCAATGGAAACATTCATCTTAATCTGGCGGAGAGCCTTCTAGAACGAGCAAAAAACCATGGGTGTTCAAGTGAGAAGACTCGACAACTTTTTCTCCGATGGTACTAACGGGTGATACAGAAGAAGACAAGAAAGCCCTCATCGCCATGCTCGGCAAGCTATTCATTACACCAAATTCCAAGACCGAAATGCTTCAAAGCACGACTGAGCTTGTCGAAGAAGCTATTGAGAATAAGCTTGCTCAGGACGCGCCCTCTCGCAACGCCCTTAACAAATTGCATTCAGCCTTGAGCAAAGCTTTGGGAGAAAGTGGGAAAGTTAATCCAATCTCAGAGGACACGCTGGCGCCTGCAGGGGGAGACGACGGTCTGACTATGCTAGAAGGGCAAGGGGGGGAAGAATCTGTAGTGGGTACCGAAAAGGATATTGGGATTGAAGGTATTGAGGATGAAGGCGTTACGGTGGCACAGGACTCATTGTTGGAAGAGCTTCTAGACGATGAGGATGATGACTCGTGATTTCTCTACAATTGCGGATATTTTGCTTGCGCCGTGTCTGTTCGCTGGAATAGTAGGCTAGAAGACTGGGAGTTTCTGTTCCCGCGAAGAGCAAAGGGTTCTCTGTCAGCTGTCTCCTCGAGGAATTTATTAAGTGGCACAGTTGAACCAACACTAGACGCAATTGTAGGGTGGTATCGCTTGGAGGATGATGTTGTTTGAGCAAGCCGGCGATAAAGCTCCAAAAAAGTGACGTTCAAATTTTCCCCGAAAGCCGGGTAGTGAGAGTGATTCATCTTGAGCGCGGCGCTAGTCAGTCAGGCTTCTCGAGTATATAAACCTGGCATATCCCACGCCCTTTTTCTCTCGGCATCTAAGTGTGAGTACCATAACTGGCTTCTCCCTCAAGACAAATTCTGAACATTTATCTAGGCAGAGGCGTTACGAGTATCAGTGAGGATTCGTCCGAGATCTCGTTTTTGCTAGTTGAAAACTATAACTATGACCACTCCTTATGGTCTTCGGATCGTATGGGAATTTTTGGATTATCCATTTGTCTTTGACAAAATTCACTTCTTTTCATTGCTGGCCGTCCTTTATGGATGGCCGCGAAGAAGAGATCGATGACGTAAAGGTGGAAGCACTGGAGACCCACGTACAGTAGGTTCAACATCATAGATAGACATTTCAGTACAAATGCGGTAACTTCGATGTCATCGGGTCACCTTAGACCTCGGTTGCGCTTCCTCCTTCCTACCTTGACCTTCATGGTGCTGTGGTCAGTCTCGACCTTAGAATAGTCATCCACCGCCGACACACATTTGATTACCCAGCACCAGCGCCGTACAGATTATCGAAGGATCCTGCATCATGGTCAAGACCGCACTGGTGACTGGCGCCACAGGCTTTCTTGGGCGTCAAGTGTCACAAGCTTTCCAGTCAGCAGGGTTTCAGATCGTGGGCACGGGCTTCACCCGAGCCAACCCTCCTGCTATTCTTAAGATCAACTTGTCGAATCCCGCTGAGATCTCGTCAGCCTTACAAGAAGTCAAGTAGGCACTGTTTCCTCCAAGCCTCAATTTTGAATTCTTTGACAAAGCAGTCCAACTGACGACTTGGGCTCAAGGCCTGATGTCGTAGTACACTGTAAGCTTGGGTGCAAGCCCAGTGACTTCTACCTATATTTCTATATCTGCTCACTCATTGCCAACAGGCGCGGCAAACCGATTCCCTGACAAATGTGACGCCAATCCAGACGAAGCCAGAAAGATTAATGTTGAGGCTTCCAAGCATCTTGCTCAGGCGACCTCGTCAAAGAACATCCTACTCATCTACATCTCTACCGATTACGTATTTCCGGGAAGACCGGGAGAAGCCCCTTACGAGGCCCATGCAACACCAGAACCTACAAACCTATACGGACAGACGAAGCTTGATGGTGAGAGGGCAATATTGCAGGCGACGGAGGGGACTAGTTTCGGCGTCGTATTGCGTGTGCCCGTGCTGTACGGCAAGGCAGAGGATCCTAAAGAGAGCGCTGTGAATATCTTGATGGACGTTGTGTGGAAATCTCAGGAGAAAGACGCAAGGACGAAAATGGACGACTGGGCAAAACGTTACCCCACGAACATTGAAGATGTAGCCCGGGTATGCGTGGATACGGCTACGAGATACCTAAATGGCGAGCGGTATCGACTGCCTAAAATCTTGCAGTTCTCTTCTGAGGATCGATTTACAAAGTATGAGATTTGCCAACTGTTTGCGGAGATTATGGGTCTTTCACTTGATGGTATGGTCGCAGACGACAAGGCTGGCAACGACCCGAATGCAAGCGTGCAAAGACCTTACGACACTCACCTATCAAATCAAGCGTTAAAAGATATAGGGATTGATGTGGGAACCCAGGACTTCAAGGCTTGGTGGTGAGGAGCAATGTGCGGGCTCTCTGAGATAGGACGCTGACTTGAGCATAGGAGGTGGGAGGTGAAGGCTTTCAAGAAGTGACACGCGTGGGGAATCGATAAACCAACGATGGACCAACGACGCATTTGGCAACTTATGTCCCGGCTGGGCTCATGCTTTCAAGCTACACATAAGATCTTGCTTTGTGAAAAGTCTCGGAGTCCTAGGTAGAGTCCCTGCATGCGTCCGATGGAAACGCATACTGCGCCAATAGATCTTGCCGATGATATGGTTACGACCTGATCAAAGATAAGACCGGCTCTGGCTGGAAACACGTTACCCCAAATATCAATGATGAGTCTCAAATCTCCAGCCACTTTTTACATCTTGGCTGGCCCTGGGGTCTGCTTTGTGCTGGATGCTTCGCACTTGGCTGAACCCATGGACCTTCTCCAGCTCCCTGAAACCGGCGACAACGATATGCAGTCCTTCAAATGCTACCTCGGTCTAGTGAGTCTCGCAGCGATGGGCTTGAAGGCACAAAAGCTGCTTCACTATGAACACATCGACCCATGTGAGGTTATCAACTATCAAGTTCCACATAAACAACCACTCTGCAACTGATCCCTCATGAGCTACCCTAATCTTCATGAATCTTTTTTTAAGCTCCTGTATGCTTCCCTTTCATCTTCGCACCCCAAAGACGTTCATGGGGTGCGAACGTCTTTGGGGAGTAAAGGTCGAGGGCAACGCAGGATAAAACCCGTTTATTGCCCAGATAATAGGCCAATGTGAGTCTTGGACATCATATTTGGATATTAACCTTTTGATCTTCGAATCCGTGCATGGACAGTTGCATCTGGATAAGTCAATGATTGGGCGAATACTTTAACCTTCAACATACATGAAGCATTAGAATTCTGGAGCTTCAAAATCGCTCGTTGAGATCAGGATTCATGGTCTCATCTGATGCTGTAGGTCAGAGCGCCGGTAAGATGAATCGTACAGCCGTACTGTAGGGGTACCTTAGTATCTTTTTCAGGTTTGCTGAGGCAAATTAGTAGAGATCTATTGGTCAATATGGGACACGGTACTAGTGAGTTTTCGGGCGGCAGCACATGTCAACTGCCGGAAAGATTCCCTCACCCTACCGCGCTTTTATCCTCCTCTCCAGCGCAGCGACTAAGATGCGGAGTTGTGGGGTTGTTCACGGCCGCTCTGCCCATGGTCCTGTAAGCTTTGGAAAGCGACTTCGGCTTTTTTCTTCGGGGACATTGCCGATTACGCTTTCCGTTCCAAAAGTACGCCCGTAGAGCAACGAATATCTTCTAACCAACCCACTCACTGCCCACTTTCTAACCCCCCAATAAACCATCCACTTATTCGCTAGACCGTCTGACACCGGAAAGGAATGTGGCATGCATGTGCCGAATCCTTTCCTATGCCGTGCCATTACTTGAGTAGAACCAATTCATTCTCTTACTGATAAAGCTGCTCGCTGTCTGCCGGCAAACATTTCATGCACATCTTCTGTCTGCTCAGCATTCCATTGTTACTTTGATCCAATCACACTGTGGGGCGTTTCTCTTTCGCTCACGATGTTGAACTCTACTCTATCTCTCGTCTTGCAGCACTGGCCTACCGCTGTTCTATTTTGCCTGGCTGCCTACCTAGCCAGGAATTACTTTTACAATGGGTTACACAGGTATCCTGGTCCTGTGCTGGCATCTCTGACAGACTGGTGGCGCTTTTTCGATGTACTAGGCAGAAGACCAGACATTACACACATTCGGCTTCATCGCAAACATGGTGATATTGTTAGGTTGGGACCGAATATGTTGTCCTTTGCGGATCCTCGGGCATTGAAGACGATTTATGGCCTGAATAAGGGGCTTACGAAGGTGAGAGCTCAAACATCTCCAGGATAATAGGTGATCAGCTGAATCGAGAAAGTCCGAATTCTATCCAGTACAACAGGCTATTTCAAACGGAGACCGACTGCCTTCTTTATTCTCGACCACTGATAACCAGTTCCATGCGGAATTGCGGCGTTGCGTGAACAGTGCCTTTTCTATGAGCTCTCTCGTCCAATATGAACCATCTGTGGACATCGTGACGGAAATGTTTCTGGATCAGACGGAAGCTTTGTTCTCGTCAAAGAATGCAATTTGCAACTTTGCAGAGTGGTTACAGTTCCTCGCCTTCGACGTCATAGGTCAAATCACTTACAGCAAAAGTCATGGCTTTGTGGATCGTGGAGAAGACGTTGACGGCATGGTTGGCTATCTCGGAAAATTGTTTTCCTACGTTGCACCGGTATGCTTCCTTTGCAAAGAATAATATCAATGCTCAGCCCCGTCTACGTTAGGTCGGCCAACTCCCTATGCTAGATCGCTTCTTTCTGAAAAATCCGCTTTTACGCTTCCTCGACAAGCACGGAATCATGTCTTTCACCTTCCCTGTCGTGACTTTTGCGAAAGCCCGTATCAATGAGCGCCTCAGAGAGATTGAAGCGTTGAAAGCGCACGGAATCGACACTGTCGCCACGGTAACGGGTCGCCGAGGTGACCTGCTCTCAATGTTCCTCAAAGCCAAAGAAGATCGCCCTGCATTCTTTCACGATGGGCGTGTGCTCACCATGGCAGTCAGCATGGCTTTTGCCGGCTCAGAAACCACGGCGATTTCACTTGCTGCCGTCTTTTACTATCTCCTCAAGAACCGTCCCTGCTATGTGAGATTGATGGAGGAAATGGACGAGGCCATTCATACCGGTATGGTTGAAAACCGTCCCAACGGTCTGGTGACTTGGACCGAATCCCAAAAGCTTCCGTACCTTGATGCTTGTATCAAAGAGGCATTTCGTCTCCATCCAGCTGCAGGACTCCCTTTGGAACGTGTAGTCCCAGCAGATGGTATGGAAATCTGCGGGCAGCTCATTCCTGGTGGGACAATCGTCGGCTGCAGTGCTTGGGTGATACATCGACGGCCAGAGATATTTGGAGAAGACGTTGAAACTTATCGCCCAGAGAGGTGGTTGGAAGCGAACGAGGAGAGCAAGAAATCTATGGAAGGTTGCATGATCCAGTTCGGCATGGGCGCCAGGACGTGCATTGGAAAGAATATCAGTCTTCTGGAGATCTACAAGTTGGTACCTAGTTTTCTCAGGAGGTTCGAGGTAAGATCTTTCTATGAAGTTCCTCGCCTGCTGTCGGATGGCGAAGCTACCGAAGAGTGGTAATACTGACTGCTCATCTACCACAGGTCGACTTGGCAAACCCCAACAAAGAATGGAGATTGCACAATGCTTGGTTTGTCAAACAGCTGGACTTCAACACAACCTTTAGACCTCGAAGCATGGCATAGGCCAGCTTTAAGGGGTACCTTTGTGTATCGACAATGCCACTAGCTTTTGGATACATGAGACCTTTCCCATTCTTCAGACTTGGATCTTTTCGTTGGCGACTTTCTTTGTCGAAGATCTTGCTCTTCTTGCCACTAGGTCCCGCGAGTGTTTGATTCCAAGCGGTCATTCTGTCTTTCTTTTGTCTCGTCCTCTGCAAATTGCGATAAGAGCGTGAGTCGCTTCGAGTCTCGATCGGTGTTTTTGCACGGTGCGCGAACGCAAGGCAAAGCGTTGTTGGTCTATTTACAGTGCTTTTCACACAGGTATGGAGAAATGAGGTCATCACATGAAATATCTCCCTCGCTCTCGGTTTGATTCTGCACGTCTCCAGTCTGTTCGGCTTTCAGATTTCCGCGAAAACCCCCTTGCCATTTGTTTTTACAATCAGCACCGCAAGCCCTCCTACCGTTGTGACCACGCCGCTAAAGATTGAGACCTGCCCGAATCCCCAGTAATGAGTGACGAGAGCACCACTGATGGGCAGGTCAACGAGCGCGTCGAAGGATTTAATGCACCCCTCCATCCCGATGTAAGTGCTGATATCTCTCGGATCCTCAGCAGTTGGAGTAAAGCAGACGACCATCAGACAAACAGTTACTTCTGAGCTAAACCCATAGAGGTATACAAAACGGTGAACACTGCGTTTGAGATGATTATCTGCCAAAAGACAGACAGTATGTTAGTGCTGACACTGGCAAGGCATAGCATATAAAGACAGCCAATTTGATCCGTCTTATCGATGGGAAACACTCTTCCCAAGAATGGGACTCAATCAGAAGGACGGTGGAATAGAAAAGAAGTGGCGTGCTTATCTTATTGACTTCGACGTACGTTGACAGATCGAAGATGGGGACAAAGCTGTCGAAGATCCCGAGGAACATAGCGCCAATGAAAGTAAGATAGGGTCTTTTCTGAAGCAGAGAAATGGAATGGTCTTTCCGTTCTCAACCAAAGACGAGTACGGATGTCGAGGGTTGAGGATAAGATGATGGCTAGCATAATGAAGCCACATATACGAATGATCCATTCGAAACTCAAGCGCGAGTTACTCGGCATCTTGTTGAGTTGCGTTAGGAGATGAAATGCCTCCAAGGGGCGATCCAGCAACAGCTAGACCCACTGCCGCTCCGCGTTTCTTGTTGAAGTACTGCGATATGGCTGCCATTCCTGGGGCCATCGTTATTCTGTCCAGGGTATCAGCCGCAATGATAAGCCAAGACGGGGCTCATTAACCGCTCACCCCAAAGATGGGCCGGCAAGGATTATTTGTGCGAGCAAGTATTGGTAGTATGATTTGCAAATACTGGTGATCATTATCGAGAATACGTACCTGTACACAGCCGCAAAGGCCAGATCACCTTGCGTATGGATTAACCGCCCGGCTCGGAGAAGGAGACAAGAGATTGGGACGGTTGACGAAATCTCTTAGATCCGAAGCAATCAAAAAGCGCGCCCCCGAAGGCCATGGCTTCTAACAGGAAGATAATCAGCAGACATTCAATGCAGGAAGCCATCGAATATCCATCATATTTTCTGAGGCAGAACCTTTGAACGATGGATCGCATGGGTTCCGAAGTCTACGAAAGCCATTCTGAGCCTCTCCAGGAACGCAGGAGGAGGC